AGTTCCTGAGCGCTCCGATTCTCTATCGAAGCCGAGCCATGAGACGGCGAATGCTTTGGGTTTGGGTGCACCTTGCTCTTGTAGCGGGTGAAAATGAAGGTCCAAAGCCTTTTCCCTCAGTGTCGCCGGATCTTTGGAGCGTGGGCCTTGAAAGCGACGGTGGAATGTCACTGCATAGGGGCCGCACAGGAGTGCTCTTGTGAACAAGCTGTTTTGAGCTTGCGTGTAAGAGCTCGTAAACAGACTTCGTAAACCAACTGTCTTGCAGGAGATGCAGTGGCATGGGGCAGCTTCCAGGATGCAATCAATTCGACTGGATGGGCAGTCCTTGATGTGCATACAACATCCCGGGCAAGTGGGAACACACAAAGCTATGCTGCCGGATTCCTGGAAGGTGCATTAACTCACACCCGCATCACGCAACACTTGCAGAATATGTGGGGCGTGGACTTCAAAGGCTATGCAACAGGCACCGTCCCCCAGAAAGTTCGCGATTTCGTGTCGGCAAACATGGAATGGATGGTGAGCCAGGTGAAGAGCAATCCTTCCGATAACTATTGGGTCACAGTCGGCTACTTGCTGGCACAACTCCACGGTCTTGCTGATGGGTATGAGGCTGCACGAGACCATCAGCAAGGTGAACTGCCGGTGACGGTCGAAGACATGCTTATGCTCGTCATGGTGGACACCGACATGGATGACGTTGTCACAGCGGTCGTGGCCGAGGGTCATTTCATCAACGAGCACTTCCTGCACCGACGCCACAAGCGTCGGCACAGGATGTTTGATCCATTTCCGGAGTTTTTCGAAGTCAGCAGAAGGCATCATGGGCACTGCAGTGCGCTGGTGCAGGTAGCACCGAACTTCGAAGACTTGTGGGTCTCCCATGCAACATGGGACGAGTACCGGGGCATGCTCCGAATTATCAAGTACTTCGATATGCCACTGCCTGGCACGGCAGTGCAGCGCATGGCCTTCACAGCAGATCCAGGCGGATTGTACAGTGCCGATGACTTCTATGTGCTAGATTCTCAACTGGTCGTTATGGAAACAACCATCGACAACTACAACCGGTCGCTGTGGTCAAATGTAAAGCCGGAGAGCCTGATGACCTGGGCACGGGCCATGGTAGCGAATCGGCTTTCAACGAGTGGTGCTGAGTGGACCACATACCAAGTTCGAGACAACAGTGGCACCTGCAACAACCAGTGGATGGTTGTCGATTACAAACGCTTCGTACCTGGCCGTGAATTGAAAGATGGGGTGCTGTGGATCTCGGAGACCATGCCTGGACATTCGCAGACAGGCGATGTGACCCATGTTCTGCGAAACCAACAGTCGTGGCCTAGCTACAACATACCTTTTTTCACGCACATTTGGAAGGTGGGCGGTTATGAACACCTGCAGGCAAAGAGTGGATCGGATGACTTCAGTTTCGAGCGGTGTCCACGAGCTAAAATGTTTGAGCGTGCCCGCAAGCAGGGCTTCGGGAACTCTCTGGAGTCTTTGATGGCTCTGATCAGATACAATCGCTTGGGTGATCCGCTGGCACTTGGGGATGCTTGCAATGCGATCAGCGCGAGATGTGATCTCAATCCGCAGAAGCACGTGAGCTACGACTGTTTCGGGGCGATTGATGCAAAAGTCGCAAGCTGGAGATCGAACAGACACGACCTTTCCTTCCTGGCCGCCCCTTGTCACTGCAATGGCCGGAATCGTGAGGTGTTTTCGATTGCCTGTCCACACTGTGTCTCTGAGACTGAGGTTTCCTCGCCAACACGAAGTAATGGAGAGCAACCATTTGCTTGGAGCCGGGTGAACGACAAGCTCGACGGCTGCAAGCCTCAGAACCACATCGGGCACCCAGATACTTTCGACTTCGATTGGTATCAGATGCCTGCGAGCTGGCCTTCAACAGAGACTCCCAGTGTTCTAGCAGTTTCTGAGCACGGCACCGGGCTCCAGCTGGAACAGACAGCAGCCGTCATGTTCAGCAGCCTGGCCTGCATAATGCTCTTTGTATGCACGCTTCGGATAGTATGTCGGCAGACAGATGGTGGCCTTCCAGCCTCACTTTATGAGCCGCTGGACGCTTGATCTTCCCTGCCAAGCGCAGGTCTGACAATGGCATGCAGGATGAACCATTTCAATGTAAACTTGGCGCCAGTCCTGCAGGAAACCCATTGCAGCCTGAGGTTACCACGACATTGTAGCGACAAAACGTCGTAATTCGTCCTTGCACAGGCCAGGTGGGGCCGAGGCTGGAACAAAGGCGGTCCGCCTCGAGAGGCCATTACCTGGCTGCATTCAAGATGAATGCGAGGCCCTGAGCCCCCCATTGATCAGGGGCCCGGACCTTAAGACTATGACGTGCTTCGCAAAAGACACGCACTGGAGAGCCTGATTGATCACTCTCCTTCGGACGCAGCCCAGCCTAGACCTTTCTTGATCAAACAGGTTCTTGCATGGTGTTGCGCCGCTTGTGAGCATGTGCAGGCCTTGCACCATGCAATGCTTGTGGATCGCCTGCCTCGGAAGCCGAGAATCTGGTAGCAGCAGAGCAATCGCAGGAAGCGTGAGCAGAGAGTGCACCCGGTTGGAGACAGAGGTTGACTGCCCAGTTTTCCCATTGCTTTCGAAGGAGCGCATCTTCGCCGACCACTGCAAGTGGCTTCACGAAAGTTTACCCGTTGCTGCTAAAGTGCTCAAAGTTCTGCAACCTGTCGTTTCAATGGCAAGACATTTCTAAGGATGATCCCCGAAAAGCAACAAGATCCAAAGTTGCTGGGGGACATGGCCAAGACATGTGCCGAAATTGGGTTGGCCCCTGACCACTGGCTGGTTTGCAAGGCCCAATTTGTGAGCCTGACATCATGAAACCCAAGCCTCCAGCTTTGCGTGATTCAGGTGCATCACATGCTGGCTTGCTTCTTCGCCCAGGCTGGTGAATCGGCCCGGGCTGTGGAAACTCGGCTCGCTCAAGACATTGTAGAAAATTCGAACGAAACAGTCGTGCCGACAAGCTCCAGTAGGCATACCTGAGGCATTTAATTTTAACGCTACGCCGCCCGCCTCGGCTCTGTAGCGGCAGGGCCAGGCGGTAGTGGATGTTGTATACAGCATGCTAGGCGGGCCTCTCAACCCCAACCTCGAAACGGGTGAGCGTCGATTGTGCGAGCGCCAAGCAGCGGATTGAAGCAGGAGGCACAGGAGGAGGTGGGGGGGGGGGGGGGGAGGGGGGGGGGGGGGGGGGGGGGGGGGGGGGGGGGGGGGGGGGGGGGGGGGGGGGGGGGGGGGGGGGGGGGGGGGGGGGGGGGGGGGGGGAGGAGGGAGTCATTTGGATGGCAGGGAGGAATTAGGTGGAGGGTACCTGAGGTAACCCCCACGGTTGGGCCTGTGGCCTCGGCGGATTTTTTACGGGACCAGTGTGTCTTTCGCGCTAGTTGCAGCTTCGCTGCCACGAAGGGGAGCCAGTCCTTGCTGCCGCACCTGCGAAAACGTGAAAACCAGGGCGACCCTTAGTGGCGAAACCTCATAGAAGGCCTTCGGAACACTTTCTGCAGGTGAGCGGGCGGATCGCATCGTAGGTCTTAGATCTCCAACAAGCCACATGGGTGTCAGGAAAGCCTGGCTGGAATTCTCCACTTGCACGAGAAAGTCTTTGGATCCATCAGCCTTCAGAAGACGGAGCTGCTGGGCGACCAGCTGTTACGGCAAGGCGATGCTGTTAAGGCCGGAAGTAACCTCACCAGTCCTTTCTTACCTCCTCCGGGAATTCCCGCACTTGCATATTTGTATCAACCCTTGGTAACACAGCTGCCTTCTTATGTGCCGTGCCAGGCGTTCGATGCATACATCTCTGTTCTCAAGGCGGCGTTCGGCCACAGGAACTGCAGACATGCCTGTGTTCAGTGCTCAGGTTCTGAAGCTGCGATCTCCTAACACGCCTCCCAGCGACGAGCCACATTGCTGAAACATCTCAAGTGGCATGCTGGTGAGGGTGTGTAGAAGAGCGGTTTTGAACATGAAGCGTGGAGTCGTAAGATTCGCTGTCACTGTATTTCGGCAGCAGTGCGGCGGTTGAGCCATGTGGGAATGAGGCATTGCGAGCGAGTTCGGCAAAAGCTGCGCGAATGGCCGAGATGGATCAGTGCACATGCACGCGAAGTTACAGTTACCCACCCCGTCGTGTTTTCTCTGCTGAGGTGCCGCTCTTGATGGTAAGCGCAGCGACAGTGAAGAGACTCGGCATGGTGGCTATGCGAAGGCATGATGCAGACAAAGACTTGTACATAGAGCTTATGCCTGCGATGCCCCCACAAAAGTTTGGTGATGGCATGTGGTGCCACCGCAAACGCTACTCGCATGAGTCAACAGGTTTCTCGGCTGCCTTTGTCCCCATGTTTGCAGTAGGCGAAACGTTGCATCTGCCAAGCACAGGAAGGATGCGGTTCGCTCACCGGGGTTGCGTTTCGAGCAGAAGAGACGTTGCGGGTATGGTACCGAATTGTTGCGGTTGGTTTCGGTGAATGATTCTTGCGGTTCGATTCGATTCGTGTTCAGGGGTTTGTCTGAGGGAAGGGGCTCGGGGACTGGTGCCTGGAGCCGCCTGCTGGCCGTGCCCTGCACCGCGATCGGCTGGGATGTGTCCGGACGCCGCTCGGACGGGCCCCGCGGGGGAGTACAGGGTTTCGCACTCTTGGGCCGTACAACGTTTGGAAGCCTGTACTCCCCCACGGGGCCGGCCGCCGCCACAATGACTGCCTACCAATTTGGCTTGTGGGATGTGGGAGGATGTGGGAGAATTCATTCAGACCGGACCGACATATTGGCATATAGCTCTTCTCACAACCTCGCTTGCGAAGCTAGGTGCTAACAAGCTGCGGAGGCGCAAGGTATGAAAGCAGACTGCAATCCAGGTTTGTGATGCGCACCGTGAGCCATTTTGGCTCAGCACATGGTACGGGTGCCCGGAGGAAAAGCAGGCGCTGCAGGTTGCCATGCAGACAGCAGCTTGTCCTTAGCAGATTCGCACATTGGCCAGTGATGCCCCGTGAACAAGCGGAGATCGAAGAGAGACAGAGCTGCTGTGGACCTCAGGAAACCCCGGCCCGGCGCTGCGAGCAGAAGAGCCCTCAAGGCTGGCCCACAAAGGTCGCAAACCAATGTCGCTTCTTCTCTTCGCTTGAGCCACGGGGGGCACAAGTGCTTCAGGATCAGGTGACAGCGGTGACGGGTGGACGCAGTCCTCCTCGCCTACCGAGGCTGCTCGAGTTTGGCTTGATTTCGAAGCATGGCGGGGACTCGTTTTGTTTCGACGAGGTTTACGACATCGGTGCCGATTCAGAGGACGACATTGGCCACATATCTTCAGCGGTGCGTGCCCTCGACGTTGAAGGCCGTTCTGGGGGCCCGAGCCAGGGGGCATCAGTAGGTACCTCTTGCACCGCTTATGATAACCTGCCTTCCACAGAAGGTGACCTTGCTCCATGGCAAGAGAGGTGCCACGCGCTGGTCAACCTGGAAGCTCCAGTTTGAGGCAACTTGTCCGTCGAAGGTCACCGTGCTCCTCACGGAAGGGCGGCAAATATGACGTGTCCACCGCCCGTCGCTCAGCCTTGCCACGCTGCCCCACAAAGAGGAGAAGCATGCTTTCTCAACAAAGGCTGCCTCCAGCTGCAATGCAGCGGAGGGTCTCACCGCCTCCAGTAAGGCCTGGCAAAGCAGATGGACGAAGGAAGCATCAACTTAGTCCATTTGGCAGGCCGAAGATCAAGCTGATGCTTGGAATGTGGAGGCATCTCAGAATTCCTTGTCAAGATCCCTCTGCAAGCCTAGCGGGCCTCGGCCCGCCGCTTCCCTCAGGACTGGGATTCCCACCTGGCCCAGCTGCGCGAGGCGGGCCGGCGGGCGTTAGAACACATAAGCAAAGTAAGGACAGCAAAACGTCCAAAAGAAAGATGCAATCAGCAGCAACCGCAATTGCACAGTACGAACGATGGAAAAACCGCGAGGGCAGAAAGGAACCCCGCCAACTGGCACAACGGATGAAAGTGAGACATTTGGGCCCACCCCGCAGCTTGCTGTCCAGGGTCGCTGCATGTCGATTTGGTGCATGCGCGGTGAACCCACACTCGAACTTGAAGTAAGTCTGGCTCCTCACGACACAAGCTTGTGCGTGTTTGTGCCCCATGGCACGCAAGGGTTGCACCTGTTTGAAGTGAGCTGCTGAAGAATGTCGGCGAAAAAGTATCGCGGGGAAGACGTGGCGTCGCCTGAGAGATGGTGACCACCGCGTTGCGCTTTCGAAACGCGCCGCGCCGCTCTGAATTGCCAGCGCCTCCTCTTGCTAAGTGGTTGCAGTCAACCCGATTGCTGCCGCTGCAAAGCGGCTGTGATGACGGGAAAATGATAATGACCCAACGAGCCATGGGATGTCTCTCGTCCTCAAACCGGAAACCGAAGCTAGGCTGACCCCAGACTGGAAGTTTCGCCAACGGTTTGGACTGCACCGGCCCTCGCGAATGTCGCCCTCGATTTACAGGATGTTGGGAGCTGGTAGCTGGCAAATTGTGAGTTGTGCTTCTGTGTCCGATATTGTAAATGTATCGCTTTCACGCGTGCATGGGAACAGGGAGCACAGAGTTCGCTCATTTCTCGGACAGGTTGCCACCCCCTGCCGAGCTTCTCCAAATGGAAAGCTCAAGGCCAACACAATCTCCTTGTCCGCTAGAGTTCTTGGGTGAGTACCTCAGGTGGCCGATACTTTGAGAGCAGAACTACAGGCGTGAAAGTTTCCACTGGATGGCAGCTACGTCGCTACGTTTTTCAGTTACATGTTCTGCAGGCAGACGTGGAGCTCCTGGTGCAAGAGGCAATGGATGAAATGCGATCATGGCTTTCACAGGACGCTACGGTGCTGCACACCGCAACGGAAAACTGCTGGGCTTTCACCACGATGCAACGAGCCCCTGCCGTGCTTTCGGGCTGAATTGCAGGAAATCGCCTTTGCAAGACGAAATCTCGAAGAGGACCGAACGCATGGTCTTGTGAATGCACTCATCGAAGGAACTCAATGATGTTTCTTCGATCGCATGCCGTAGCGCATCAGATCTCGGTAGTCGAGGAATCTATGCCGAGTTTGTGCATGGAAGGGGCACACTTCAGTTGGCCTGAAGCGAGGTACACGCAGATCAATCTCAACCTCAGGCCAACGACGAGGCAGACGTTTCACAAGAAACAAGAGAGAGCCTCAAACAAGCGTTGCTCTTGCCAGGTCAAGATGTTGAAACAGTGCGTGGAGGAGCAGGGGCTTGCACTGGAGAAGCTGAAGGTGCAGCTCAGAAGGGCGCATCTCTCCCGACAGTGCCTGCATGTTGCGTCTCGGTCTGCTCGCAAGGAAGGCAATGACCTGGAGAAGCTACGGAAGGACTTGCAGGATCAAGCACGGCTCATCAGAAAGCCCGCTCCTGCTTCGTGTGCCTCCTTCAAGCTTCTGCCGAGTCTTAGCTCCAATCAGGTTGGACGATGCTGCCGCCACTGATGCACGATCGAGCACCACATCATCGGAGCGTGTCCTCGAGGTACAAAGTGAGATGTCCAATTGACGAACCTCGGAAAGTCCCGCGAAGGCTCGAGCAGTGGCTGAAGAAAGAAAATGGCGATTGCGGCTAGAAACCTTCGAGTCCAGTGTTGCAAGGCTCGTTTGCAAAACATGTTAGACGTCCAGGCAGACATGAAATCGCATGGCCATGTGCAGCGAAGCCAAGCCCGTGACCCGATCTGCCCGATCTCATGACACGTAGTTCTTTGGAGCAATAGTTCATGGCTTGCCAGGAGTGTGGAGCAGCTCGAGAACTGCAATCAAAGGACATTGGAACTGCAGGAGCGCACTGCAGCCAACGAAGCAGACCTTCAGCGAGGCCGCTCGAAACCAGACCCTCTGCTACACCCGACCTTCGCGGCTTGTGTGTGTGTGTGTGCCTGCGTGCTGGTTGGTTCTGTGGTTAGCTCAGCATCTTGTGTTTTCTTTCTGAAAGTCGATCGTCATCGTGTGGCGCGTTGTTGAGAGTTTGCAAACCTGCACGATACGTGTCCGCGCACGCAGGCCATTCCTGAAGCTAGGTTAGAGCAAGTCGGTCTGTTGGGGGCAGGAGCAACAGCTTCCGCCCGCCTAACTCGCGAGCAGCGCACTCCAGTCCGGGCTGTCACCAGCGCCCGGCATGCCGTGCGTGAGGATTTCGACAGAGGTGTGCACCTTCTGCAATGGCAATTGATGAGACTGCAGAGCACAAAAACTTGGCCGGCTGCATGATGAGCAAGAGTCATCAAGAGCCTATTTAGCTATGGCCAGTCTACAAGTAGACGGACAACAGCCGCTGTGGCTTTTGTTGATCGGCATGCCTAGAGGGTGAGAGAGGTATATGACGATTGGTGTAATACCGGCTAGAGGGTACGGTCAGGCTTCGTTCGAAACGGAGAAGGCAGAATGTGGTAGGTGTGGAGAGTCGGGAGAGCACGTCGGAGACTGGATGTTGTATAATGTTGCATTTGGCACTGGCACGTTGACTGGCTTACTGCGTGGAAAATTTCACACGTGACGCGCTCAGCATGGGGGGTTTGGGCGGGTGGGCAAGCTACTTTTCCCTGAGGCCCACAGGAGTCACAAGCAATCACGCGGCACAGTGATGCATCCACACCTGACTTGCAGGCCTTTGCTCCAGCCAGTCTGCAGAGAGACAATGCGCTGAAACTGCCAAAGATGTTGGTCTGCTGCGAGCGTCTGCCGACAAGCAGGACAGAATTCCTGTGGCCGGTATGCCTTCCTAAATCGACTCAGCTCTCAGATTTGCTAGGCTGAGGACATGAAGCAACTGGAAAGGCAAGTGCGACGCCTTGCTGGTGAACTTGCGGCTGCGCAGGCTTGCAGTCTTCTCAACTTAGGGTTATCTTCCTCACCTGCCGGCAATTGGCAGTAGACTTCCATCTCTCCCCTACTCATACTCTCATATAAAGTTGTTCTCGACGAGGATGCATCGAATGTGGCTGCGAAGCACGCGAGTGGTCAAAAAGATCTTGTGGGTGCTTTGGAAGAAACGTCGAGGGAACTGGCCTCTACGCAGAGGCAGCAGAAAGAGGAGATGCTGTCTTTCGGAACAAGATTACAAGAAGTCCTAGCTGGTGTGGCTGCCTGCAAGACCGAAGCAATGGCAGCACAGAGCCGGATGGATGCCGTGGCACAGCAAGCCGAAGACACCTACAAGCAGGTTTCCAAGTCTGCCCACCAGATGTCCATGAACGAAGAAAAGCTTCATGCTGCGATGGAGGACCACTGCAATCCATGGAGCCTTCCTAGCGAGTGGCGAGCGTCTCCCTAATCTTTAAGTCTGCAGCCATGACGAGGAGATGCGAGCTCAATCCCAGCAACTTGAGACCGTGCAACCCCGGCTCAAGATCCATGAGGATTCTCTCAGGTTGCTCGAAGGTCAGTGCAGTCACTTGACAGAGCTGGGGGAGAGAGGCTTCTGGATGTTGGGCGACTGAATGCGCTTACACATACATGCTTGTGAAGATTGGGGCATTCTGCAAGTGTTTATGTGCAACGAGGTCAGCTGGAGTCGAAATTCTCATCCATGCATCTTGCTGTTGGCCGGAAAATGGAGAAGCTTGAGCGAGAGGAGCCTTGGCCACAACCAGACACATTTAAGATTGGAACTGCTCTGTTCCATGTTCCTCCAGTCCTTCAGGTGTCAACCACTGAGACGGAGCTGTCCACCATGCAAGGCTGCTTGGAGGAGCACAATGCCTCTCGACTTGGCAAGCAAAGAGGGGGACACCTTGGAAGCATTGTGCTAGCAGTTTCTGTTCCTTCTCAGGCTCACTTGTGCAGCTTGGACAAGCAGCGCTTGTCATTGGCTGCCAAAGCAACGCTGCAGGACACCGGGGCCTTGTTTGGACCTGAGTCAATGAGAACACGATCTCTCCGAAAATGTCGCCACAATCGGATGTTGCGCCAGGAAGAGCATATTCACAAGATATGGGCAGCAGTCGAAGGTCTGGAAAACCAGGCGGGGAGCAAGACTGGTGACTGATGCAGTCTGCAATCATAAGAGAGAGCTAACTACTACGATCGTCGGTGTGCCGGCTCCCACTTTGGTCTGCAATGACGGTCTGCGTTTCTGACTGCAAAAACAACTTTTACGCAGGTGCACTCCGACCACAAGGAGCTGTTTCAGGTGTCGAGAAGCGCCAAAGAGCAGGGCTTCGACCTCAGCTGCGAGCCTGTGTGAGCTCGCTGGCATTGCGCAAGGGGTGAACCTAGCTCAACATGCCCGACCTGTCAAAGGAGTACAGAATCCTCAAATCGTCCATGCACATGCTCGCGTGATGATCTGCTTTTCCGGACGGAGCGTCTTTCCTTCTGCGTAGCCCTGTGGGCTTGACTGCTTCCGGCATGAAATGCCCTGAGGTCAAGGCCTGGAAGATCTTCGGACAGAAGTGCAAGCTCA